CAGAAGGTTTTACAGAAGCACAACTGGGGATGAGAGTACCCTCTAGTGGGCATTTTGTGCTTTAATTTAACCAACGGAAACATCAATGAAAGTTTCTTCCCAAAACATGATGGCAGTATTAAAAGGAAAAAAAATAAATATTTATAGTGAAACTAAGGAAGAGTTASTCCAAGGCACAAGAAGAACAAGGCCATGACAATCTTGCATTGAAAATATTCAATTCTTTTCCATCATCTTATTAAAGTTGAAACTGGCAAGGAGTTCAAGATCCTTGCTAATTGGGCTTTACTAACATTACTAAGTTTAATCTCAACTACTCTTTTTTTTGTTCCATTATATTGGACTGTTCTCTATTCCATAACATGCATTTTCACAATAGGGTGCCATTCCATATAAAAGTCTTCTTTACTTTAATTAAAACCCTATTTACCTTTACAGGCCCTGTCAAATGTCAGTTATAATTTCTCTCTTCTTGGTGCTCCTCTGACATTCTGATCAGGTTTCAATTACTCTATTTAGTACATCTATAGTATACTTACCTATCAGGACAGTTTCTGTATTCTTTGGGAACAGAGACAGTATCTGACTCTTATTCCTGATGTTTTACAAACGGCAGAGATTCCAAAGATATTTGAATATTTAACAAATAAACTAGATTTGCACATACCTAACATTCAAAGCCCCAAATAAGAATTTCATGAAATTTAAATAGAGTTGAGAAGAATAAAAACAAAGAATAGAAAACACAGTGAACATCAATGAATCAAACAAAGTATACCAATAATGTGTGTTTCAGAGATAAAAATAAAATTTCTATGTCGGATGTGAAGATGTCATTTTATTCACTGTATCTTCTATAGATACATAGATATCCCTAAATGTATCCCTATTGTATTGAGAATGAAGCCCATGACCTCATTTGCAAAATAATTTGATATGATTTTCATTTAGTAATTAGATTAGTATTGCTAGTATAGTCTCTGTGTACTGCCTAATGACTCAACAGGGAGGGATTTAAGAACAATACCAGAGAAAGCTTAATGTAGAAAAAACAAGAAATCATGATCTGGCTAAAATTATAGGGGAAACAAAGAAAGCAATCTGAAAACATGGTCAAGATACTGATAAACAGATCAAAAGTAGAGAAAGTAAAAAATTTAGCTGGTCTTGAAAAAAAGTCTAAGCAACAAAAATGAAACTGAGGTCCCTAACACAGGCTTTTCAAATAAATTCTCAACACAAACAAAACAATAGAAGACAAAACTTACCACAGCCACACGTGCAAGAATAACAGGAAATCCAAAGGCAGAAACAACAATCCCAGTAGTGAAGAAATACGCCAGTTCCCGACAGGCACTACTGGTTGCATCAGAGTCATATGTGACTCTTTTGGCGATGAAATGGGGAATAGGGGAGATGGCGTGGAAAATCAGGACGAACAAGGGCCAGTATACACTGCCAGTTAGACCCAGAGGAGATCCAAAAAGAAAAGTCACAGTTAAGACATACTATTGCCTCAAAATAATTATTCTAAATGTCAAGTTCAAAAAATTAATGAATCAATTGTGAATACTATAATATAGGATGATTTCTACCAGGAATATGTTAGTGATGATTAAACTATTATTGGTTCATTAATATGTATATAGTTTATGTTAAGAAATGTCTATACAATGTATAATCAAGAAACATTGTTTTCTGTATAACTGAGCCACAATTTCTGTAAGAGCATAAATCTTAACAGTCATCTCTGTTTTCCCTAAAGAATCTAGTACAGTGGCTTGTACTTGCTAATTTAATGAAGATCTTTTGCGTGCATGTACACTTGAAGGCTTTCAATGATTTAGAATAAAACCCAAATTCCCTGCCCTGCTCCACAAAAACTTTCATGATCTGGTACCACCTACTTCTTCCATTAATTTTGCACCATATTCTCTTAACTTCATTCTCTTCCATTCATTTTGCACCATGTTCTCTTCATTCTCTCAACCTCTTAAGAGAATGAAGAGAATTCTCTTCATACTGGCCTTAGGGACTTTGTACTAGCTGTGCCCTTTGCTTACCATCCTCTTTCCTCTTCATAGCAATCATAATTGAAATGTCCCTTTCTAAAAGTGGCTTCACTGGCCACTCATTCTTAAGTACTTGAGGTCAACCTTGAGTATACCACCCACTTCTAATTTTCTGTAATGCTCCTATTCCCATCTGATATTTTCTTGATTATGAGAACAGAGACTAGATTTGTTTGGGTCAATCATTACTTATCTCCAGGGCCTACAATGAGGTTCTCCATTTATACTTGTTGAATGAAAGAAAAAAATAAATAAATTTTAAGTATGGAAGGTATGAAAACACATCAGTTCCCTAGTAAAAACATTATATGTACTCCAATGATTATTATGGTAGATCACAATAATACTATAATGCAAAATAATAAAACTATTCTTTCCAAATTTCACTACTTTGCATTTATTAAAAATTTTTATCATCTGATTTTCAATTGTATTTTCTCTATGCATACTTCAAAAATAATCTATTCATGTATAACTTAAAAAAACAATAAAAATAATCTTTTCTTCATCAGACATTTCTTATGCTTCATTCCTTAAGGGAAAAGTCTTTACTCATTTTTATAAATACACACCATAATATTACACATTACCACATTACCACAAAACTGTGATAACACTGACCCACCCAGAGAGCCAGCATCTCTGAGCAAGGGTGAAGCCATGATATTAAAAGTTTCCCCTTTCAGCCACAGTCATTGAGGAGGCAGGATGGTAACCAAAGAGCAGGGAAAGGGTCCTTCATCAAAAAAATTCAGGCTGGAATCACTGAGTTTAGAGTTCTAATTTTAAAATAGATTATAGTATGTTTCAAGAATAATCAAACAATATTGCGGCAAGGAACACTAATAAGAGAATCTCTAGATCAAAGTCCTCATTTTACCAACAAGGAAAAGAGAAAGAGGAAGAGCCTAGAACAGACCCAGCTGTCACCTGATATGCCCACAGCTAAGAGCTCTTAATTCTCCTGGAATACAGTGACAGTTTTTTGAAAAATAATCTAAAAGACTGTTTCCAATTATAGTAATTGGAAACAAGGTCTAACTAAGAGAACTGTTTATGTAGAAGAAAACTTGTTTATATACAAAACTTAAACATTAAACTTAGTACTAGTCAGTAAATGTGTAGGCCAAGGGCTTACAAATATTTCTGTAAAGATCCAAATGGTAAATGTTTGGGCTTTGCAAGCAATAAAGTCTCTGTCTCAACTACTCAACTCTCACTGTAGTACAAAACAACCCAAAATAGCCAAACACATGAAGTTGGCTATGTTCCAATAAAACTAGTTATAAAAAATAGGCAGCAGGTTATATTTGGCCTGTGGGCCAGTTTGCTGACATGTGGTATCATCATGAGTCACCATTGTGAAGACATAAAATTAATTTCTTTGTAATAGTAATGGATTTTTTTTTTAACCTTACAGAGACAACGTGAGTGTTTCACAGAGAATTAAAACACCTGAATTTAGAACTAGTAAAGGAATGGAAAAACTTTTGGTCAAGAGAATCAGAACACGGATTTCACTCCCATCTCTGCCACTTATTTATTGCTGTATAATTTGGGAAAATCTTTAACTACTCCAGATTTTGGTTTCCTAGCTATGAGGATAACTTTTATCCCTAAGACTAGAATAAAGCAGCAGCTAGGAAAGTTCTGAACAAATATAAATTATTGCTTAGATTATATTTAGGAATTCCTGTGATAGTACTTTTTAATTCATCCACAATAAATTTGAACTTTTATCAATGTCGTTAACTCCAGTTGGTCTTAGTCACACCATCTTCTGTCAATTTGTTCAAGCCAATCAGCTGAGACATCCAGGAACTCGCCCTAGTTCGGTCTTGACATCAATTAATAATACCTATTATTTCTACTGCCTATACCACTCTCCTTTTCTCTCTATCCCACTGCCACAGGCCTCAGTTTTGTTTGGTTCATGATAATGGCCCCTTAGAATATTCTACCTGACTGTAGTCTCAGCACTTTCCTATCTAGTCTCACATTTTGGCCAGAATGACTTGTTAACAAAATGCCCTCCTGCCACACCCATTCTCAAGATATTTTCCCAGCTCCCTGCCTGCACTACAAAACCTAACCTCCTCCAGATGCTATGCAGAGGCTGATCACATACTTTACCAAACCTCCCTTTGTGAGCTGTTGAATAAAGAAAGTTGTTGACTGTTCCTTCTTCCTGGAATGCCCTCTATTGTTTCATCAGCTGGAGAAACTCTTATTTATCCACCAACTCTTACCTTAAATACCCCTGCTTTGCAGCTCTCCATGACTGTCCCCAGGAAACTGAGATTACTCCTCTCTCCCTCAACCTCTCTCTCCCTCTATTTATTTATTTATTTATTTTGGTACTAGGGATTGAACTCAGGGGTACTTTCCCACTGAGCTCCATTCCCGTCCATCTTAGGTTTTTATTTTGAGATAGGGTCTCAATAAGTTTCTGAGGTTCTTGCTAAGTTGCTGAGGCTGGTCTCAAACTTGCAATCCTCCTGCCTCAGTCTCCCCACCCACCAAGTTGCTGGAATTACAATATATGCCACTGTGCCTGGTTGAGATGTACTTTCTTGAAGTTCCCACTGTACTTTTGCACACATCTCCACTACAGGTGCTGTCTTTTGACTGAACAGTTTGCCAGTCTCTCACAACTATAACCAAATGCTCCTTAACCAAACTCATTCTCATATCCCCAGCTGGTCCAGGTAGGAGTTCAACAGTTTATTAAATGAATACATTTACTTTAAAAAGAACTCTTCTCTGCACCAATACACCTGACCCTGAATCAGGGACTGAATCCATAATTTTGGCTTCACTAACTCAAGAATTAGAGCTTGGTGCTAAATTGATCAAGTTCTCTAATTCCCATACTAATAGTAACAAAGACACACACAAAAAATAGTTCTTTTTGAAATGGTTACTTACCCATAATCCTCCAAGGCACATCCCAGCATAAGAAAAGTCAGCCCAATAGCCCCAGTGAAGGATAATGCCACAAGAGCTGTGAAATATAAAGCCAAGAGTTAAAAGTTCCATATCAGTGGTTCCCAGGAGGTAGAGGAGCCAGAGGGACTGAGGAGTGACTACTTATGGATACAGAGGTTTTCGGGGGAGGTTATAATCACATAACCTTGTAAATACACCAAAAGCCATGGAATTTTACACTAACAAGACTGATTTTATAGTATGTGAATACATCTCAATAAAATTTCCACTTAAGAGAAAAAAATTCCCAAATTTTAAGCAATGTAGCAATTTACTTATTTTATTGTTACTTTTGACTAGCAAATGACTATTATTATGAACTGGATGTTTGTATACCTGCTAAATTCATATATTTAGGTCTTAACTCCTGATGAGACAGTACTAGAAATGGGAGTTTTGGGGAGGTAATTAGGTTTAGAGGAAGTCATGAGTGTGGAGTCTCCATAATGGGTTCTTATCTTCATACACATACCCCCCCACACCATGTGATGATTCTAAAACAGCCATTATCAAAGCAGGAAACAGGCCCTCACCAGACAGCAGATCTGCCTGCACCTTGATCTTGGACTTCCCAGCCTTCAGAACTGTCAGAAAAAATGACCATAAGCCACCTAGTCTGTGTTCTATCTGTAATAGTAGTCCAAACCCACTCATTGCTCCCAACCTCACACTTCTTCTTCCCTTTGGAGGTTCTCCTTGAGGACCGACCAGAGCTGCAATCTTTCTTGCAAGTAAATCAGTAAGTCAGGGTGGCTCAGTACTTCTGACTTCACTCAATCTACCCTCTTCTCTTGAACTCTCTCCTGCTGTCCAAATGCAAATTCTTATCATCTCTTGCCAGCTGCCAACGGTAACTCTTCCAATCCATCCTCCTGACACAGCAAAGAGCTTTCAAATATACACACAGCTGGTGTCACCAATTTGCAATTACTTCCACAGCCTACAAGTTGTTCCACCACTTACCCCAACTTCTTTGCCAGCTTCAACCCTGCTCACTCTCTTTAAAAAAACAAGGCAAGTTCTTTCTTGCCCCCTGTCCCACATCACATTGTTCTCTCCACTGGAATATATTTCACTTGAGCCCTACCCCTCAGCAGATGAAGCCTTATGGAACTCTTTAGTTTATGTTTGAAGCACTGCTATTCTATAAAAACAGCCCTCCTCCTCCCTGGAATGGGGTTAAGCAATCCTATCTATATTAGTTTCCTAGGATTGCCATTACAAAGAACTACACACTGGGTAACTCAGAACAGAAATTTATTTTCTCACATATCTGGGGAATAGACTTCTGAAATCAAAGTGTTGACAGGCTGTATTTCCTCTCAAGGCTGCAAGGAATAGTCCTTTTATACCTTTTCCTAAATATCTAATGTCCTCAATCTTTAGTGTTCTTTGGCTTACAAATACATCACTTCATTTTCTCTCCTGTATTCATAGGATATTCTCCCTCCAGTTCCAAATTTTTACCTTCTTAGGATGTCAATCATTGCACTAGAGTTATCCTAAATCAGTAATAATTTGATGACATCTGCAAAAATTCTATTTCCAAATAAGGTCATATTCACAGACTCTAGGGAGTTTGAACTTGAACATCTCTTTCTGGGAGGCATGATTCAATCCACTACAACATCTATGTGTTACCACTGCATCTATGCACACTGCAGACACTTACATAGTAATATAATTATTTCCAGCCATCACTCAACAATAACATCTCATTTATTTTTTCACCCCAAATCTCCATTATACAGCAGTTCCTCAATAAAAATTGAATTCACTTATCTGCAAAATACTTTCTTCTCTTAGTCCTTTTCCGTTTCATATTCTATTTCCCTTTTTAATACAGCCAACATATACACATAAGTATTACTATTTGGTAGTAAAAACTGTAATACTGAGATATTTGACAACTGTTTTCTGCACTGGCTTCAAATGGATATATTAAACACGAGACACCGTTCAGGTAAACCAGGTTTACTCAACTGATATTGAGTATAAAAATCAGCCAGAAATAATAAAATGTGTCTGCTCACACACTCAGAAATTCATACTGAACACACATACACGCACACATATACATATACTACATACATGTTTATGTAGCAGATGTTGATTAACTGGAGAGGGAAGATCTTTGTGTATGAATTTCAAGAACAGAAACTCCTACCCAGAAACAAGTTATGCTCCTATTAGAAAGATCTGAAACGGAATGGTTTCCTACCCAAATAACAGGAAGCCTTCCAATAACTTCTTCCCCCTCATTCTTCTGAAGATGCACATATAAGTGTTCTTAATACTTTTTCCCCCCATCAATCGCCCAACGCAAAAACACATTCTGCATGTACACTACTTTCTTGTCTGTCTACAGATGAATACAGAAAACACTGAAGAAAGTAGTGTTAATATTTCACCTAATCTAGGTTCCAAGATTAAGAGAAATACAGCATTTCTCGGTGTTTGCCATTGACACTGGCCCGCAGTCAACTCTGCCTATATGGAAAAATCATTAGGAACAAGAGGATTAAGTTTTCCAATGCCCAGCACACTGGAGACAAAGCCTCCTCTGTAAGAAAGTCAACAAGGGAGGAAAACAGGAGAAGCGTTAGTTAGGGTGGACGTGTCAGGAAGTGGAACCTTTGTTTAAAAACTCGGCAGGGGAGAGCAAGCACTCCGAAGAACTGAGGAGAAGCCTGGGACTGATGCTCCCCGGGCTAGCCCCAGTCTCCCAGGAAGTCACCGCTCCCAGGCGCGGCTCCACTTCGGGGCCTAGGAGACGCCAGGAGAGCGAAGGTTTACGAAGGAGCGCAGAGGCTCCCCGAAACGCCCCTCCGCCCGCACCCCATCTTGCAAGGGAAGCGGGCGGAGGCTTCCTCAGCCGGAGAGGCGGGAAAGGCTGCGGGAAGCGATACCCCGCCAGCGCGCTGAAGGTGCAGTTCCAGACTGAACCCAGAGCTGAGGCAGCGACAACCGCAAGACAAGCGGGCCAGGGGTCGCGAATGTACCTTTAACGCCCGCCATGTCTCCAGAACTAGGGCCGCGGCTGCTTCCGGCTTCCTCCCACCACCGGGCCCCCGCCCTCGCCCCCGCCCAGGCCAGGCCCAGGCAGAGGCCGAGCCGCAGATCCCGAACCCGCCCCCGCCACGGCCCTGCAGGGCTTTGCCCCTGGAAGTACAGGGCTCCGCCCCTGCCACGCGGAGCCTCGCCTCTATTGGTCCTGATGCCTGACACTCACGGCCCCGCCCCTATCAGCCTGGGATCTCTTCCCGGCCACGCAGAGCCCCGCCCCCGCTGGTCCAGAGCCCCACCCCCAGTCTCAGAGCCCCGCCCCCAGCTCACAAAGTCCTTCTGCCTGCTCTAAAGCCCCTCCCCGGCACACCCATCCTATTCCTGAGTAATCTCTACGTCGGGTTAAGGCCCTCCTCTCAGGTCCTGAGCCCTCAAGGTATTCCTCGAACCCTCCCCAAGTTCCGCGCTCAATCTGTGGGTTGAGACTTCGGGCTGAGAGGCTCCCCTAAACTCTTCAGCTGGTTATCACCGCGATCCTGGCTGCCAGGAAACCTGCCTAAGATTGGAGACAGAGAAAATGGGGAGAAAGGAGAACACAGGAGGAAAAGTTACGATCAGTTGAGGATAAAACACCCACTTGCAAACCGTATTTTGCTTTCTGAGCCCCCTTGTGTGCGTATGTATGTATGTATTCGTGTGTGTGCCTGTTTGTATTTACGTGGCTGTGTGGGGTTGGAGGCAGGAGCATCAAGGAACAAGGCTGGAGGAGACGGCCCTCTCCTTAAGATCTTTACGTTTGCTTAGTCTCGTTTTACTTAATACAACGTTACTACTTTCAATAAACTAAAGAGCSGTCTCCCACACCTCGTTCACTTATACATCATACAGGCTTTTTTCTATATCGGAAGCTTTCAGGAACCTTTAAATGAATAAAACTATTAGTTTTGTACCTAGGAGCTCTCAAGTCTGAAGGTAACCAAGACTAATCTTTAGATCTCTTATTCCTTATTCACGGAGTTTTGTCTTGACCTTAGAAACCATCTAGTCTAAATGTTTCATTTTATCTTTAGGGAGAGAAAGTTAGAAGTGGTAGGATTTATGCCACATAGCTATTTAGAGGAGGTTGGAAAGTGGGGGGGAAAAGGGGGGGGAGTTCTTCACTTAGTAAGAAAAAAATCTTATGCTGAGATTGCTATGAATGACAATATATTAAAACATTTTGGGAGAAACTACATTCTCCCAAACTAGATTACACTACACTGTTATAATTTTTCTACTTTAATATTGTTAATCTACTATGACTATTTTATAAGTTAAACTTTATCATAAGCATGTATGTATAGGAAAAAAAAAACATAGAGTTGAGCACTATCTGCAGTTCCAAATATCCACTGAGGGTCTTGGAACATATCCCCTGTGGATAAGGGGACACCACTGTACCTGTTAGAGTTCCCAGGAGAAACTGCTCATCAGCCAAACCCTGATGAGGGTTTTTTAGCTCCTTTATAAAGCACTAATTTATTCTAGAGAGGAAATAGAACCTTTTCCATCTTAAATTAATGAGGATTTTCTATGGGATTAAATCATCTCATTCCCCCACCATTCTCAACCACCCACTGTGTCTGGGAAAGATCACATCTAGAGATTTGCTGGAAACTTCCATGTCAGCCTGAGGCCAGTCTCACAGAACAGAAATGACTCTGGAAAAAACTGACAAGACTTCAGAGTCACTGCTTGGTTTGAGTGTCAAAGGCTTGCCAATAAAATATGAAAGACACCGAGAAGCAAAAACTGAAATGTTTGCTCCAGGGTTATGTCTGGAATCATAACATTCTGAGACAGTGTTTGTCTCCAGTAGCTCTCTGACCACACCAGCTGTCCTTTTAGTTTACTGAACACTCTAGAGAGAAAGTCATCTTGCCAGGGGCTTTACCTATCTCCTAAAAAAATCTGCTTTTACTTTGCCAGATGTTGCACTGAGAAAACTGTTCTTCCATTTAGCCATTCTACATTTTCTCAAGAACAGAAAGTAAAACCTTGAATTCCTACCTCCAATCTGCCATCAGTAGATTACTTAGATGTATAAGATCTATGGCCTGGGTCATGCTGCCTAAGACTACCATATAATTCTTGGGATGAATCTTAATATTTTTTCCTTTCAATTCAATTCTCTCACTTTATGAGCGAGATTTTATCTCCATTTTACACACAGAAAAGCTAAGGCCTCAAAAGTAACTAGCCAACTGGAAAAATGAGATCAAAGTCCACAATGGATCTATGCACCAAATGCAGGAATTGTAGTAATTAGAAATAATAGTAACAGGGGCTGGGGATGTGGCTCAAGCGGTAACGCGCTCCCCTGGCATGCGCGGGGCGCTGGGTTCGATCCTCAGCACCACATAAAATAAAATAAAGGTGTTGTGTCCACTGAAAACTGAAAAATAAATATTTAAAAATTCTCTCTTTCTTCTCTCTCTTTAAAAAAAAAGAAAAAGAAAAATAGTAACATCTTTTGTTTAACAGGGCATTCAAACCATTTCTTGATTTGATATTCCCCTACCTATTTGTATCTTGCATATGATATACACAAAATATTGATTGAATTAACTATAAGTGGAAAAAGGTATGACCCCTCTCCTTCCATCATAAAAGGTCATGGTCATCATCCCATAACAAAAGATAGGTTAACAAAAGAAAAACATAACAAATTTATTTAATCTAGTTTTATGAGACACAGGAGTCTTTAGATTGAAGACCCAAAGACTCAAGATGAACTACTCATTTTTATGCTTATATCAATAAAGCATGGACAGTCATGTAGAAATATGGTTGATCAAAAGGGGTATGACCCAATAGTACTAGACTGAGGGTAAGCCCAATAAGGCCTGCCCAGGTTTGTCTTGGCCTCTCTATGTACACTTTGTTCCCCTAGGGCATGGAGGAGGACCCTTTCTGAAATACGGATCTTGAGACCCACTATCAAAAAAAGTAGGTTAAAGAATTTATTTATGGACAACTCTTAAGTGGGGAAAGAAACAGTAATGTTTTTAGGTTTTATGGCTGGCATGAGGGGGAAAGGGTTCTGGTTTCTATGACCACTTCAGGGAAGAGGAATTCTAGCTTCTATGGCCTGTCTCTGGGAAGAATTCCTGATGAGAAACAGGAGGGCAGGAAAAGGTCAACAGAGGAAGTTTGCTTCTGCAGCTGCTTCTGAGGCCTTGACTTTGTGGTACCAGTTTCTAAGTCCCAACACAAGAAATATTAGTAAGAATACCAAATATAGTATTAACTCTCCCTACCCTGCAGAAAACATCTACCTCAAACCCAACTCAGAGAAACTTCTGTGTTCCCACTTCCTAAAATGGGATTTACACAACCTTCCTCTTAAAAAAAAAAAAAAAATCTTTTTTCCCTAAGAATTAAGTGATAAAGAAACACACACAAAGCAGTACATGGAAAATAGATGCCAGGTTTCATATTTGCACTGGGATGGGATATCAGGTCAATGCATGATTTAAACACAAGTATGACAGAGCACTAATTAAAATCAGTAAATAGTTTTCCTTCTTAATTATCAGCCACCACTTCTTGTGACACAGCCATTCCCTTTATAGAACCTACAGTGCAAAACTATTCATTATGTACACAGGTCTCTTTCAGTCCAAGGAGACAGGAATAAGTGTCAAGGTGTAAGTTACTTTCATTTGCCTTTTCCTACTGATGTTATACACTCCCCACAACCTGAGGTTTCATTTGAATTCCAGCCCTAAGGCTGACCGGAAATGATACACTTTGTCTTATTATCAGTAACAATAACAGTAGTTATGATAGTACCCTCTTGATAAGAAGTGACACACACAGTCCCTAATTCTTCTACCACGGGGGCCTTAGGATTTTATTTTACAAGTAATAAAGACTTAGAGAGGTTAAGAAACTTGTCCAATATAACAGTCTGTAAGTGGAAAAAAGAATTCAGACCCAATCATTTGGTCTCAAAGCAACACATACCACTATGTCCAAACATAATGGTTTATCTTTAGAAAAATCAAAATCTGCTTTTTGACCTAAATTCCCTGATCAGTATTTCCAGCAGGAACTGACCTGTTGCTGTGATAACTGTTTCAGGAATTCAACTTTTGTGCTCATTCCTTACACCATGATGTTTCTTCAGTGGCACTGGGATCCAACTTCAGCAATCTCCCAGATGTAGACAGTACAGTGATGGGTCATATACTTTGGATTTTCAGCATGAATCTGCAACTTCTGTCCCTAAAGAATTAAAATATCTGAGACTTTCTATGATAAAGCCTCAGACTTCTAGGATTGATTTTGGAGTATCAGCACAGAAATGCACTTTTTAAAATCCATTAATATTCTAAGAAAGGAGACCAGGATTTCCATGCAGATTCTTTTTGAAACACAATATTCATGTAGCATGATCAGTGTATTTGTGTGTGTGTGTGTGTGTGTGTGTGTGTGAGAGAGAGAGAGAGAGAGAGAGAGAGAGAGAGAGAGAGAGAGAGAGATATGGAAGGGGAGAATAAAGTACAAATCAAGAAATCCTGTCAAGTTATACTTTGGTGCAAATGTATTATATGCTTTTCATATTCTTTTCCCAGAACTTCAGAAGTGAATCACATCAGAAAGTATAATTCAAGTTTGTCATTGAGTGCAAAAATAACTTAGGTTTCTAAAAATATTTTGGAGCCATTTAATATACATTACAAATATTTTAGACCAATCACATTTTGTTGTGTATAACATATTTACAAAACAAAAAAAAATATATTACAATAAATATGAATGAAACAGTGAACCTGATCAACAACAAGCTCTGTCACAACCGGATATTTAAAAGGAATGCAAAAAACCTGTTGGTCTGCATTTGTTAAGAGTTTTGAGATAAATAGGGGTCCAGAATTATAATGTATCTGGAAAACAGAGGGGGAGCCCCCCAAATTTAAATAAGATTCTTTCTCATTGCTAATTACATAGTGTTTAATGATGTTTTAAACTGTGAACATTAATGAATTATCCAAACATGATACAAAGCTAATATATAGTTCTATCATTTCAAAATGTACGTGACATCC